ACCAGATCTCTGAAACCAGAGGAATCCTCACTCCAGATCTACTATGCACGAGTCCTGTCCGTTCTGTCTTCCTGAACAGGCATGTTTTCCAAAGTCTCCGCGCGTGCCCCAGTTTCAGTCTGTTCCTTCTCTTGGACTGCTTGCTACAACCCCCTAATGGATCTCTCAGCTTCTAGTGCCACCCCTCCAATCGGCACCATGCCCAGATTGAGCTGGCTTCCCTTTGCTGTCCAGGTAATCTCAAAACTCTTTACTGTGGCATTAGAGACCGCAGGACTAGGCTACTTTGCAAATGTTATTTCCACACTCCTCCTTCCAGTGGGTGTACCTGCACCCAAGTCAGTGCCTCTACATGCAGTCCCTTTTCTACAAGACCACTGCAAACTCCAGCATCACCTCTCCGGAGAAGCCTTCCACTAGCCTCCCTTCCTCTCCCATGACAAGCGGGCCTACCTCCACTGTACGCATAACCATTTTGTGCTGCGTTTCCTAATGTGGTTGTGAGAGCTTGGAGATAACAGACTGGCTTTTATTTATTAGTTGCATCTCCATGTTGGGACAATATGCCTAGCACATAGTAGGTGTCCATTTATGCTTGTTGACAGAAGTATACATTGATCGGGTACCTGCGTACCACCTTTCATCTTCATAACTTTTCCAGCCCCCAAACCCTCCTTTTGACAGATACCAGAGGAATTTCTCCGGTCAGGTTTCCACTACACCGTTGCATTCTGAGATACCAAAGAGACCTAGCCCTGGAAGGCAGGGTTACCATATTTTAGCAGTGATCCTACACATTTATTAAAAAGGAAGGAACGGCGGTGCTAAGTCTGCAAGAGGGCTATTTATAGCCAGACCAAGCTACAGCTTGAGAACCAGATTAATATGAGCCGGAGCAAATAGTTAGATCAAACAACCCCAACAAGATGCTCATGGCTGGAGTAGAGGGATTTAGAATAGAGGAAATCCCTATTAGCAAAACCCAAAGTAAAAACCTCAGTATACCCCACTCTTTCTCTCACACTCACTTTTTCTCACAAATCCTTACCTCAGGAACAGGGGAACTTGGAGCAGAGTCATAGTAGCTTAAAAAAGTTACTTCAACAGCCATCTCAGCTTCAGTGGTCTGAGAGAACTAAATTGACCACTGAAGATAAACTCTAAAAGACTGTCATTTCACTGGAAGAAAAAAAATCTTTTCAACTGATCCTAATCTAATTAAGATCTAGATGTCTTATTGGTACCTAATTTAATCTAAGGAAGCCAATTAAGGGAAATGTGATTTTTTTAGGCCTTGAATCCTAATTTTGTTGAGCACTTGATTTTGTAACAGGCACTATCCTAGGCTCCTTAATACCTCATTCGATTCTCACAACCATAACCTTTTTTAGGGACAAGGAAAGAGTGAAGAAGTAACTCACCCAAGTCATGGGACTAATTAGAAGTGAGTAGGGAATTCAAAGCCGGCTTTCAAAGCTCAGATCAAAATTACTGTAAGGTCTGCTTTAATACATAAAGATTACATTATGTATGATGTTGAAATTGGGAAAAACTAAGTTCTAACAATAGACAAATGTTTAGGCAAACTATAATTACATCCAAAGATTATTATGCACCTATTAAAAGATTTAGACAGTGTGATAACATGCAAAAATAATTTTTGTTAGTCCAAAGAAGTAGGATGTAAAATTGTTTGTAATGTAGATTAAAGCTGTAACTTATTGAAAAAAACAAACAAGCAAACTTGGGCATTGGGGGTTAAAAGGAACAAGAACCAATACAGTCTTTTCTTTGGCAGTGTGTACCAAAAGTATTTAAAATGTTGAAATTCTTAACCCAGTAATTATATTTCTTATGATCTGTTCTAAAGAAATAATCTAAAAACTGGAAAAACATTTGAGAATAAAGATGTTCATCGAAGTGAAAAAATGAAAACAACTTGAATGTCCAAGTGGGCACTTTCAGGAAAATTATTGTACAAACATAGATGTAATTTTATATAGTCATTATGCCTTCAAAAAATTTTTAATGACAAGGGAAAATGGTTGCAATAACGGTAAGCAGAATTGTTTGAAGTATACAAAATTATATATACAGTATGATCATAAAATATAAGTACAGATAAAATATGTGGAAAAATATGCCAAAATGTTAATAGTGGTTCTCTCTGAGTAGTAGGATTTTGATTGATCTTTATAATTTTCTATGTTCTATGATTTTCCCACAATATCATATATTTATTTTTTTAAAAAACTTCCAAACTTATTCTAATAAGCAAGATTACTTTTACAAACGTACACATTTAAAAAGATATTTGAATGATGACTTGTAAAGATACTTCCCTATTGGACTATAAACTGTAAAAGGCATGGACACCATCTACTGATATTTGTACTTCCATTGCCTATCACTGTAAATGCAATAAATGTTAACTCAAGGAATGATTTTCTGTAATAATATGATTTACTATTTTGCATGTTATTACTGCATAGCGAATATCAAAGAGATAAGTTTACCTCTGAGAGTTTTTCTAAAAATTGGCATGTAGGGCCAGCCGAGTGGCTCAGTTGGTAAGAGCTCGCTCAAGAGTGCGAGCTCTGAGCAATAGGGTCACCGGTTCGATTCCTGGCCCGAGCTGAGCTGCCAACAGGTGGCAGGATGGCTCAGCTAAAAAAAAAAAGGATGACAGCATCTCTAGTTCTGTCCAGAAGGGACAAGTTTTCTCACTAAACATAAATACTTGGCTTCTTAATAGTTTCATGCCTATTTTCAACCCCCACTTTGAAATTCTTACTGGCTACAATAATTCTCTATAATCTAGAACTACATTGATTAATATGGTAGCCACTGGTCACACATGGCTACTGAGCACTTGAAACATTAATAGTCCAAACTGAGATGTGCTGGAAGTGTCAAATATACACCAAATTTCAAAGAGTATGTAAAAGGGACTGTAATTTGTTTAATATTAATTACAGGATGAAATTATAATAGTTTTTATATACTGGGTTAAAGAAAATATTATTAAAATTAGTTTTACCTGTTTCTTTGCTTTTTTTAATGAGGCTGGAAAATGTAAAACTACATCATATTTCTATTGGACAGTAATGATAATAGAACTTTGGAGCATCCATCATTTACTTACCTCTCTTTTGAAGCAGACTCCACTTCTTTTCTAATCAAAGTCTGGCCCCACCTATCTTAACCCCCTGGGTCTGCCCTGGTGTGGAAGTGGGGTGGCTATTTAAATGAGAAGGAGCTGTTAGGCTGCTTAACTTCCATTCTGCTTGGTTAACTTTTTAAAAGACTTTGTACTTGAAAAACTTGTTTTAATATACTGCACCAAAAATGTGTCCCTTATCAAGAAATGAGAAAATACTGACAGCAAAAAGAACAAAATAAAATCATCCATAAAATCCACCACCCAGAGATAATCACTAATGATATTTTGGCATATACCATTTCTGAAATTTTCAATACACAAATACATATAAAGGTGTGCATGCACACAAAGTATGTATGTATGTGTATATATATATATATATATATATGTATGTATGTATTTAATGGGATCATACTGTACATATTATTTTCTAACCTATTTTTCACCCAATAAGATACAGAAACATCTTTCAATAGTTCAATAAAAATATTTTTCCAATTTCATTTTTCATGACTTAAAAGTCACCTTAGAAATGAGGCCTTCCCTGACCACTCTATTTAACATTGAAATCTGTATATACATACACCGTCCAGTCCCACCCTAATGAATTATTTTTCTTCACAGTATTTGTCACCTAACATGAAATGTTATGTTAATGAATACTGTGAAATTTATTTAGTTGTTTTTTTCTCTTACTAGTATAAAGAAAGCATAAATTTGTGGTTTGTTCACTTCCTACCTCAGTGCCTAGAACTGTGCTTAGCACACAGAAGATGCTTGAATGTTTGCTGCATGAATGATTGAATGAAGAACTCCACTATATTATATATATAGTTCTCCACTATATTCTGTTTTCTGGTTGATTTAAAAAATATTGTTTATTTATTTATATCGCGCCTGTATCCACATTTAAGGCATCTTTTAAAGTTTTCAAAGGATCTGATCTTAACTGAAAATTATCTACAATCCATCTATTTGCTAAAAATTGTAACTAAATGTTGTTTAACTTTTATCAAAAGTGCCATATAGAGAAATAATATTCACAGAAAACTGTCTGAAGGATAAACAATCCATCTGTCCATTTACATAGTTTGAAATTAGCCCTATATTAAACTACAGCATCATAGAGCTATTTGGGCTAAATTGTGATGAGCCTGATAGAACAAGTGTAGGACCTATTAAATCCTCATTTGGTATTTCTATAAGAAACTGGTGCAACACTCAACATATTTGCTGTCAGGTATTATAGAGGGTGGTGTCCTCTGCTACTCAGCGACTTCTCGAAGAGCCACAAAACTTTTTGCCTATCTTGGGAACTGATACTTTATAAATCCTAAGAGGAATGTGAATCTCATTAAGTTTTCCAATTTGTTTTAGCTGCCAAGAAGCTCAGAGCTGAATTAATGACCTAGTGTTAGTATTTGGGAAAACTGCTTATAGAATGCTTTTCTGTGCAGTAATTTTCCTTTTGCTTTCATTTTATTGTAATATTTTCAATTTTCCCTTTACCCCTAACTTTAAAAATCTGTATTTTCGTATTGTTTTGTCTTTTGTGTATTCTAGTAAGATGTTGGAAATGCTTTTTGGAACTAGGCAAATATAAACCAATCAATCATTAAATCAGTCACATTGCAGTGGGGATAAATGCACTAGCTCTCATGGCCTGATGATATCAACTATTAAGAGCATCTAATTCCCTTTCCCCTAGTGCCATGTTTACCAATCTACTCTCAGATTTTAATATGGCTTGCCCTATAGATTTTTCTATATATAGAGAAAGAGCGAGAGAATGGAAATGCGACACTGGATTCCTATAAGCAGTATATTTCTCCTACAATTTAACACAAACCCAAACACCATTTTATTGCACTGGATTACAGAAAGACTAGAAATTCCTGTTTGTAATTTAAAATTAGGATGACTATTTCTGTCAGACATGATTTTGATGTGGTCCTAGACCAGAAGTACAGAGAGATGGGCTGAGTAACTCCCGTAGTTTCCATCCAACTTAGAAATTTGCATTAAAATGGCTTGCAACCAAATGTCTCAGGGGACCAGGAAAGGAAGGAGGGTCTCCGTTTCTGCCAGATTTTATTTTAAGTCTGAAGTAGGCAGCAGGGTATTGGGAAGAGAGAAATGCTCATTATCACACATTCCTGATTAGAGGTTGAACCACAACTGGGGACTTGATTACCATCACACAAAGATTTTTAGTAGGTTTTCTTTTGTTTTTTGTTTGAGGCCATCCCTAAGTACCATCCATATACACACACCCTCTTAAGACTTGGGGCACAGATGGAGTTCTTGGCTTTGGGCATTTGACCGGCGTAGGGGGATAGGGGAACAACTCTGATTTTTAAAAAATTTATTTTATCTTAACACTTTCCACTTTCCAAAATCTCTGTTACTCTTTAATTCTTGCCCTTAACAAGGTCATGAAGAGATGATTGGATCAAGAAATGTCTTGACCCCAGGCTATATACAGTGTAGAAGTCACAAACCCTGCTCAGTCCTTCTCATTAAACTTCTGGGCTTTATTTATTTTTTAATACGACCATTACATATTACACAAAAATAAAAGTCAAATGAACTTGGTATTTATAAATTATTAAATAAAAATACAGGAATATATATTTATATTTATAGAGCTTTTTCTTTTCTTCTAAACTAACCAAATCTGTTCTCCCGCCATTTTATGATTTAAAAAAGTAAAATAGTGTATGCCCTAGAATAAGTGGGGAATGGGATTAATAATTGCAGGACCCAGTTGCCCTACTTCTGCTCCTTCCTTGACCTAAGCAAGTCCTTATTTGTCCCTTTGGGCTCTGGAGAGCAAGAAACACCCTCTCCACCTATTTAATCTCTGAAAATGACAACTAGATTTATTTCCCTTATTTTAAAAAAATGAAATAGATTTAAAAATTGGGAGCCATACTCAGCCTTCCTGGCCAAGAGCTAATCCCAAGGAACTATATGGCTCTAGAAGAGAGTCTCCACTTTTCCCTGACAGAAGAGTCTCTGGGGTTTCCATTGCCCCTCAAGCTAAGAAGGGAAGGATAGTTCAAAATAGCCCACTGTGGTCCCATCCAAGCTATGCTTCTGGGAATCCAGACCGTGCCCTTTACACTTTCAGAAAACAGCCTCTCCTTCCACCCGGTGTGAAGGCCTCAGAGCAGGGCATTTTGGTAACCATAGGCCCTGCTTCCTGTTTGCTAAAGGGCCCCCCAAAAGAGCTAACAGGGATAGGCGTCCTGTGGTAGAGGGTAGGGTGATGAGTCTGCCCCAAACCTGGGGCAGCACAGGCTCCAATAGGAGCTGATGGTCTAGTCAGTGGTTTTCCAACTTTTTTTCAGCAGCAAACCCCTTAATGCAAATAAAATCTTACCCTGAACCCCGATATGTAAGACAGCTACAAGGGGAGCTGTTCTGTTTGAGGGCAAGTAGCCCAGCCTGCTCATTCCCCCACCTTCATCTCCCCTCAAGGACTCCTGAGGCAACCCCTAGGAAACTTCGGGGCTCTGCCAAGCAGTTTAAAAACCACTGGCCTAGTTTGTCCTGAGCAAGTCAGAGACCCCCCCACCCCAACTGCCTGCCACAGAGCAGCTCTGAGTTTCTGGTATCAGCATACTCACAACAGACCAAGTGGCACATGCAGCCTACCACCTCCCCCATAAATACCATTAAAAAGTGCAGCCCTCTCTCAAAAGCAAAAGTCTGGGCTAAACACCTGAGGCCAATTTTGGTCCCACATTCTAGTGAGTACAACTACGTTGCCACCTTCTGGGACCAAGTGAAAATCTCCAAAAAGAGTCAACCATGGTCAAGCTAAGCAGTGCTCAGGATCATGGGCAGGGTTCTAGAGCACTGTTGTCTGAAGAAGTCAGCATTGGAGAGCAGCAATTTTAGCACCTTGGAAAGTGCAGCAGTGAGGTCTGGCTCAGGGCATGCATCTGGAGTGAAATCATTTCTTAAAAGAAAAAGTTATAATCTGAATCTGTTCTAGAGGACTGTGAGCTCTAAAGTTAACATCCTCAGACTCTGAGGTACAGACAAGTAACACCCATGCAAACAGCGTGGCTCCAAAGAAAATATAAATGCTTCCAGATCATGGTAGGTACTCTAGAACCCATACACCTGGCCCTTGATAAAGCAGCACCAAAGCCCACCACACAGAACAGGTCACAGAGTACACGTCACCCTCACACCCATGGGGTTCAGAGCTGGAATGTTCCTCTCAAGGCATCTATAGTCTCACTGAGACACAGTGCAGGACCCAGAATGTATTCTAGATCAGCATTTATGTCCACACACTCCAAAGGAAAATTAATTCGAGCCCCAATTTAGAGTTTAAGTTTGGGTATAAAAGGTCCCAGAGATAGGGAACACTTTAGGCACCAGTGTGCCCCAGTGGGAGAGAAGGGTGGCAGGCAGGTCCCCCTACCAAAGCCTCTACCCACTGCAGGCTCCGCAGCCCTGCCTTTCTGTCAGAGCCCAGGAGGCAGCAGCAAGTGCGTGATGCACAAGGAAGGGGGACCATGAAGGAACAAGGCCAGCTACAGAACTGCTCTTCTCTCCAAAGCCCTGCTAACGACTTTCTGCAGAGAAGTGCCCAAAGCCCTAGTCTAGATACAGTGTTTCTCCCTCAGCCTTGAGTCACTAGGACAAAGGGAGGAGAGAGGAGGTTTTGGAAAAGGGAGGTGGGGGGGGGGGCAGAGAACTGCCCCTGTTCTTGCCACTGCAAGAGGGAATGTTTTCTCTTTGATGTATTCCACCGCCACCAGATTAGACAAGCAGCCCAGCATGCACATGAGCACGCGTGCACATGCACACGCGTGTCTGAACAGCCCACTGTCACAGTCACCTCTCCCTATCACCTGAGAAACTGAGCTTCCATTCAAAGGGATGTGCCTTCTGTGTTTTCCCCAAATCCCATTCATCCAATGGAGACGCCAACTCCTTATGCGAGTCCACCTTCCTCAGGGCTGCAAACCAAGCTCCAACTATAGTTGCCTGTGCCTGCACCTACAGGCATGATCCCTCCCACCCTGCCCCCAACCCTGGAATGACTCCATCTCCTGGCCTCCTGACTTTCCAAATACATTCCCCAAGGTCTCCAGCTCACTCTTCCAACCACCTGCCTGGCACACTCAGCTCCCTCACACAGTACCCTGCCCCTTCCCATCCCCGTGCCATGCCTATCTATTCACCCCACGTCTTTCAAGGGCATTTCTCTGTTCTGTCCCTGCTCTGCTGTCCCCCAGCCACACCTGGCCCACTTGGCCCTGGACTTTCTCACTTGCTAGCAAAAAAGGCCCCTACAGTTACCAGGGCCCCCAGTGCCACGGCCCCTGTCAGCACTGTCCTCACTGAGGCCCAGTTCCCCTCCCGCAGACTCCGCGCCTCCTCCAGGGCCCCGTCCCCGTATAGAGCTGTGAACTCCGCCTGTGGGAGAGAAGGGAAGTAGGAGAGAAAGAAGGAGAAAGGGATATCAGGAGAGGAAAGAGTGGAGAAAAGAGGAGAGGAAGAGTTCCAGTTCCATCCACTGCAAGCACTACCCCACACCCAGCTCCTCTCCAGCCAAAGCTCTACTGGTTGCAATCCCCTCTCATCCCCCACGAGTGCCTGGCTCATCTGCCCTCCCTGCCTCAAGTGAATCCCAGACTTCCCTTGGCCAAAAAGTCTGCTCAGACGGGTATCATTTGCCAAGGCTTGCCTGACCACAACCCATCCAATTCCTGCCCCCATGCCACACGTACTCAGGTATAAAATGTTCCTGACGGCTGGATGCCATTTCCCTGCAGGCACTCCCCTGAGTACTGTGTATTCTGTCCTCTGCTTTGGACCATGAGCCCATCCAGTGATGACTGCATGGCAGCCCTGGAGTGCAGAGCCCAGCATGACGCCCAGAGTGCGGGCATCTGATTCCACCCACTCAGCAGCCCCCCCACCTCATTCCCAGCACCGTGGGCCCCAGCCTCCAGCCAGAGCCGTCCCCTCTCCCATCTTCCCCTGGAGCCCAGCTTTTTGGAGGGATATGCAGAGCAGCAATTAAGAAGTTTCTTACCCAGCCCCCACTGCTATGGATCCAGTCAGCTAGCCGTGTCTCCAGGTAGGCCACCATCCACTCCTGCACTTGTCCCACAAGTGGCTCCATCTCCTTGTTGACACTCTCAGCACACAGTGCAGCTCCAAAGACAAAGAAGGCCACAAGGCGGCCCCAGTTGGGACCCCCTTGGAAGAGTTCATCAGAGACCTGGGTGAAGCGTTGCTGAGCTGAGCCTGGGGTCACATGCAGCTGAGCCGCCAGATCAGAGAAGGTGCGACGGAAGCGGGTCTCGAACTCATCTCCAGCTGCCCGCATGGCTTGATGCAGCGGGTCAGCTGCTGGGCCCTCCCCGGGCCCAGCTCCACAAACATAACCCTTCTGCCTCAGCTTATAGCCTACAAAGTCTGCCACTAGAGCCCGTGTGTCTGGGGCCGAGGCTGGGGTCGCCATCCGGGCGGCTGTAACAGTCAAGGATGAAAGACTGGCATGAATATATGGTCAGAGACCCAGAATGGGGCATTTCAGGTTTGGTCAACCCAGTGAGACAGGGAGGGAGGTGGGAGGAAATGCTCAGAGACCACTGGGTAGGGAGAGGCAAGAACAAGGAAATTAGGTCGTGGTGAGGGGCCAGAGCATAAGGGGCTGGCCATTAAATTTGTAATACGCCAAGTTAAATGTAAACAAGTATATTTTATATAAAAAATATTTTAGATTCTCTCCATAATCACACCAACTCTATGACACCCTTACAAACCCCTTCTCCACAGTACACACCTTTTGGCTGGAGAAAAGGCTGAGGACCTCCCCAGAGGTAAGATGTGCAGATGCTGGCAAAGGCACAAGATGGGGAAGGAGACAGGGTCTAAAGGGAAAGGTGGGAGAAGCAAAGGGTTGCCCGGGACAGAGAAGGAAGGGGACACTCACCCAGCCTGGATGGCAGCTCTTAGGACCCAGCACTGGTGGCAAGGAGCCCCCAGCTGGGGCCTTTCATCCTCCTGGCCAGCGTGGAGCCCTGGGAAGGGGAGGAAGATATCAGAGCTAGGCGGAGAAGGCCGGGAATCAGGGTCTGGGCTGAGAAGGGCTGGGGTTGCAGCTCCCAGGACCGGGCCCCAGCCCCCAACGCTCTACCAGCTGTGTGGCCGAATCCATGTTTAATGACTGTCCTCCCGGGAAACCCAGGGCTAAGGGCTTCCTGCCGACACCATCCCTACTCCAGTCTCCCCCCAGAGCAGCCCAAAGGCCCAGCTCCTCCCTCACCCCCACCCTCAGCCTGTCTCCAACCCCGCCTGCTTGCCAGGTTAGGGATCTCACGGGTCAGGCCGCTGCCGGGATCCCGGCCGTTTCCTGGTGCAGGAGCTGGGAGGGAGGGAGAGAGGGAGGAAGGGAGGGAAGGAAGGAGGGAGGAGAAAGGGGGGGTGGAAGGGAGGGCCCGGCGCCGGGTGATGATGGGGCCCAGAGATGCGTCCAGAGAGAGGGGCGGGGCTGGGACGCAAGCTTGGGAAGGGCCACAACTCAGGAAGAAAGAGGGCTGCTGAAGGCCAAGAAGAGCAGGGCCAAGGGCCAGGCTGGGCTCCTGAGCCTGGAGGCTGCCCAGAGAAGCTGGCTGGGCCTCAGGAAACCTCGAGACATATTCAACATTTGCAGAAGATCTCTGATGTTCCACGCACTTGTTGAACTTTTCCAGCCCTAGAGTGGGTGCCTGGAAAGGAGCAGTTCCCACCAGTTTGGGACTGGCTTGTGGGACTGGCAGACACGACCTGGACACCAAACATTTCACTTCCTCTTTTCTCTAGGACCTTTAACCCAGTGGTCCCTTTGTGGGCTGGGCTTTAGCCAGGCATCAAGGAGCCAGGACTTGGATAGCAAGCAGTTTCTACAGGTAACTTTTTATCTTCTTTTCTTCTTTTTTTGTAATCATGTTGGTTTTGTTTTTAATTATTTTTAGCCAATACATGAGCTCATTCTCATTATGAAAAAGTCAAACAATAAAGAGGTATATAGAGAAAAAAACAAGTCCTCAATCTCCCTCGCTCTGCCCCTCCCACAATTTCTCCTTCCTTTCTGGTGGTTGCCAGTGTCAATCAAAGTTGACATTCATCCTTTCAGATTACATACATATATATGCACATATATGTATGTCTATTATTTATACTCGTACATGGCAGTACATTTATACAGGGTAGTTCACAGGGTATGAAGCTGTCTGACCACAGCTGATCCTCACGAGGGCACTCTCAGGCATTCTGACTGGCCCACCATCTCTTGCAGCTGTCACTTCCTTCAGCTCCATTTGGAGGGATCTCCAACCAAAGGCCTGAAAGAGGTAACCCAGTTCTCCTTTCCTGCTGGTTCCCTTTGCTTCTACCTTCAGTCCAAGCCTTGGTATTCCCATCTGCCCCTTTGGGCAGTGGACAAGCAAGGTCTTTTCTGTAACAATAATAGTAACAACTAACATATTTTGAAGATGTATTAGATGCTAAGTGCTTTCTTTACGTGCATGATATTTTATCCTCACACCAATCCTTATGTTGTTCTATCCTCATTCGATGGATGAGGGAAGTGAAGCTTGGAGAGGTCAAGTATTTTGCCCAAAACCACTTACTGAGAAGCTGGACTCAATCTAATTCTGACTTGAAAGCTTTGTTCTAACAGCGTATTGCTTTGTGTTGCTTCGAGGTCCATCTTTGCTTCAGGTCAGCAATGTTGTTATGCTATTTACAAGTCCAAACTGAATCCATGCCATTTACAAGCCCAAACTCAGTACTGCTCTGAATGCACAGCCTCTTCCATTCCTTTTTATGACTGTATCTTTTCAGCCATCCTCATTTCTTCTTTGCTGTTAGGCTGACCATTCCTGCTTCTAACAGCAAGGTTGCTGCCTTCTTTTGAGAATAACCTAGTCTAGTTCTTCATTTGCAATCCTGAATTCTTCTAAGACATTTAGTTGAAATAAAAAATTTTTTTTTAAATTGGGGAATTGTGGGGAGGGGAACAGACAAGTTGCTGTCGTTTTTTGTTCTTCAATCTAGTTGTGGAGGATGTTGCTTCACTGGTCCAAGTTGGCACCATCATTGTGTTCTTCTCTGGTGAGGCAGATCAGTCGCCGGCTTCTGGACGGCCGCTCACAGCGGCTGCTGGCCGCTCACGCTGGCTGCTGGCTACACATGGTAGCCCATGGCAACCCACTGCCACAGGGACTGCAGCCTATGCCGTCGCCGGCGACTCATGGCAGTCCAGCTCCAGGTTGAGCTGTTGTTCAGCATCTTAGCTGTAGAGGGCANAGCCTATGCCGTCGCCGGCGACTCATGGCAGTCCAGCTCCAGGTTGAGCTGTTGTTCAGCATCTTAGCTGTAGAGGGCAGTGTCACTGGCCCTCATCTGTGGGATCCGAACCAGGGTCCTCTGGCATCCCAAGCGAGTTCTTAACCATCGCGCCACTCGGCCGGCCCAAATAAAAATATTTTTAAGTCTCAGGGTCCAAATATATTTTTGTCTGCCCGCCATTTATTTATAAGCTCTGTGAAAGCAGGAACTGAATTTTATTCACTTTTATGTCCTCAAGTCTTAACAGAGCTTTAGTAAATGTTGACTGAATGAATCACTCAACGCCTCTGGCCAGTTATTGAGCAGGCCCAGTCGATGTTTGAAGATAACTGCAGTGGCTGTTTAAGAAACAAAGACTGATTTGGACTAAAGGTTCAAAGTCAGTCTGAGCAGCCAGGAAAACAAGGTGCTGGACCACCACAAATTAGATCAGGTCCAAAGCTGTGTACCTCAAGGATCTTCTCAGGCCAAAACCACAGAGCCAATGAATGGCAGCTCAACAGTAGATAAGGCAACAGAGTTTTTACCAGAAAACTTCAGGCCATATAGGTTAACCTTGAACCTTATCTATTTTGTTAATGACATATCTTACCAGAGCAAGGAAGACAGTTTTAAACTGCTTAACTGTAAAACAAATTAGTGTAACACTATTTTATACCCTAAAATATAAAAAGAATATTCTTTGGGTTATATACATATATGTTAAATAAGAAAAATAAAACTGAATCACTTTAAAAATCAGTCCTGACTAAATAGTATTGTTATAGTTAATACTGAAGTTAAAATGCAAACAGGAATGAATTCTACAATAATAAGGTAGTATGTCTCCCTGTTTATTTCCAACTTAGTCACTTGTTACAGTTAAACTCTCCTGCTGTTTTAAATTTAGAGATTCCATTTCTATTCTAAGACTCCCCATTTCAGTACTCTGAAGATGTTAACAATTACCATTAAATGTTTCAATCTTATATAAACAAGTAGATAAGAAAGTGGACTCTAGAGTCAGACTGCTGAGGTTCTAATCCCAGCTCCCCAATTATTATCTTGTGACCTTGGGCAAGAGTCTTAGCCTCTCTCTCCATTGATTTTCTCATCTGTAAAAATAGTCATAATGATACTATGGCTATTTATGATGGTTGCTGCCGTATGAGTTAATGTTTGTAAAACTCTTACAACTGTATCTAGCACATTGTAAGTGCTATATAACATCAGTAGGGAAGTAGAAAAAAACTAAACAAAACTTTACATGCTCTTTTCACTAACACAGAAAAAAATGAATAAAAATGCTGGCTCTGTGCCCTACTTGGAACCTCCCACTGGAACTAGAACCCTATAGTCCCAGTTCCAAAAGTGTGGTGTGCCCATTCATTCAATAATTTAAAGACCTACTGTGTGCTGAACTGACTATGAATCAGACACATCCTCTGTCCTCAAAGGGCTTACAGTAAGGTTAGAGATCAGAATTCTAATCCACTTTTTTACAGATGAGAAAACTGAGGTTACAGAGAAGTTGTGCCTTGCTCAAGGTTACACAGCTAAATAGCATCAGAGGTGAGACCAGAAGCTTTGTCTTCCCACGACTCTTAGTTCAGAACTTTTTCCAATGGGCCACCAATCTTTGTGGGCCGCATCTCAGCTTCTATTTGGGATTCTACCTAGTTTTCATGACCTTCCCTTATTTGCAAACCTCCCTCCCCCGCCCCGCCAAAACCTGTAAACTAGAGTTTAAACAGTAAGCCCTGAAAAGAGTCACACACTGAGCGTTTTTTAACCTTCCCCTGTAAGAAAAGGAAACGTTACACTTTACATCCTGCATTAACTCATCCTGTGCCAGAAAGGTTGAGGTCGTTAAAAAAATGGGAGGGGGGCAGAGTGGTCTCACTAAGGATGCAAAGGGTGGAGTGCCCGCCCCCTGGTGCAGCAGCAGCAGCAAGGAAGGCAGATGGGGAGCCACCTGTCAGAGGGCTGTGGGCGGGGGCCTGGGCCACGACGGCCGCGAGACCCGAGGGTGTGTGCTGCTGAGCGCACGCTCAGAGCAGACAGCTAGCAGGAGACAGGAGGTGATCGTCTAAGACCCTGGAAGCTGATGGCAAGAGGGAGGGAAAGGTAGTCACCAAGGCGAGGCAGAACTACGGGAGGTGGAGGATCCTGGAGGTGACAGCAAGGAGAGTACGCAACCGCGAGGGGCGGCTGAAGCGGGCCGGGCAGCTTCTGCGTGGACTCCAGCGAGTGAGCCATTGAGAGGGAGGTCAGAGCGGCGGCGCTGCGGGCAGGCCCTGCCGGGGCGGGGGGTGCCATGTCTCGCGAGCGGCCCCCCCGCACCAACATCCCCCGCAACCTGAGCTTCATCGCCGCGCTGACTGAGCGCGCCTACTACCGCAGTCAGCGGCCCAGCCTCGAGGAGGAGCCGGAGGAGGAGCCAGGCGAGGGCGGAACGCGCCTCGGGGCCAGATCCCGCGCTCACGTTCCGAGTCGGGGCCGCCGGGCTCGCTCCGCGCCGGCCGGAGGCGGCGGTGCCCGGGCGCCCCGCAGCCGCAGCCCCAATACCCGCAAGAGAGTGCGTTTCGCCGACGCGTTGGGGCTGGAGCTGACCGCCGTGCGCCGCTTCCGCCCTGGAGAGTTGCCCCGGGTGCCCCGCCACGTGCAGGTCCAGCTGCAGAGGGACGCCCTCCGCCACTTCACGCCGTGCCAGCCCCGCGCCCGCGGCCTCCAGGTAGGCGGCAGGTGCACGCACGCCCCTTTCCTGGGCATCCCCATTTCGACCGCGGCGGGCGTGGGGGAGTGGATTAATCAATGAATACCCATCTCCATGTCCAACCCCGGGCTTGCTCTTGCACGTCCCTTTTGGGGTCCCCATTGGCGAGGGGCTCTCGGCCACTCTCGCAGCTGGGCCGCACTGTGAAGGCCCGGACGTCGGGGTCGGCGTCAGATTGGTCCAATGCCTCGCTCTGACCCCGCCCCCTGTCTCTGCCCTCACATCGCCAGTGCTCGGTCCTCCCTCTCCCTCTTTCGTCCCCAGGAGGCGCGCGCCGCCCTGGAGCCGGCCAGCGAGCCCGGCTTCTCCGCCCGCTTGCAGGCGCAGCGTATCTGCCTGGAACGCGCCGAGGCGGGCCCGCTGGGCGTGGCCGGGAGCGCGCGCGTGCTGGACCTGGCCTACGAGAAGCGCGTGAGCGTGCGCTGGAGCGCCGACGGCTGGCGGAGCCAACGCGAGGCGCCCGCCGCCTACGCCGGCCCGGCTCCGCCCCCTCCGCGCGCGGACCGCTTCGCCTTTCGCCTGCCCGCGCCGCCCATTGGGGGCGCCCTGCTTTTCGCTTTGCGCTACCGTGTGACAGGCCACGAGTTCTGGGACAACAACAGCGGCCGTGACTATGCTCTACGTGGGCCTGAGCACCCGGGCAGTGGCGGAACCCCGGAGCCTCAGGGCTGGATTCACTTTATCTGAGACGCCTGCGGCCGACGGCGAAAAAACCAAAGGCACCTGGGGGCTAGGGGTGCCCGAAGATTTGGCGGGGAGCTGTCCGAAAGAGTCAAGTGGGGGAGAAGTCAAAAGGGTTTGGGGAGTGGGTGGAATCAGCGAAAGTCGGGGAGATGGGTGGAAAACAACGAGTAGGTGTGAGTAGAAGGAACCCAAGGTACAGTAGAAAGGAGACTGGAAAGGGCGCTAGAAGAATTCGAAAAAAGCAAACAACAGGGATGATGGTGGCGTTCTCTTCAGTCATTGGGCACTGGGAGAAAGTGTTCTGCAGGCCTAGGCAGTGGAAGGTTAAGGTACCTCTTTGGGACTGAGGAGGTATTTAGTGTGAAGTAGCAGCCCACCCCAGTTAAAGTCATTTAGATTGCTGGCTCATTCCCTTTTCTTACCTACCTTTGCCATCTCAGGTCCATCAACCCTGTCCATCCTAGCTTTAACTCAGCTATAAATTGCCTTGATGAAGTTCCAGAAACTTGGCCATTGCTCCCACACCCTGGCATTATGACAGGATTCCCTTGTCACCTCTGGCTTGGGTCTGGGAGAACTAGGTGGGGAAGGTTGGCAGGTAGTATTCAGGGCTCCTTCCTCCTCCTTGCAGTCCAGGGGGGTGTAAATGAAGACAAAACCAACTCCAGACTTGTCCTTGAAGCCTAATAATGCTGCGGCTAATGGGTTGCTACACTCAGGGGTTTCCAGAAAAAGCCAGCCTTATCGTTCTGGGGTGCCTTCTAATGACCTCTAAGCACTTTATGGACTGTATTTATCAAGGGACTGTGAATCACAAGAATCACTATTCTGATTCTGCCTCAAGACTAGGAAGCCACTGACTAGCTGTATAACTTTGGGCAAGTTCCTTCATCTGTCTGGGCCCCAGTTTCCTCCTTGGTAATTTGGGTTTGGTTTAGGTGATGTCTTTTTGGCCTTTTCTTGCTTTGACGTTTTATAATCTGTGAATGGCAGAGTGTAGATTAGAAGCCACATCCTCCAGCCTATAGTTTGAGTGCTACAGTTCAGAATGCACAGCACCCCGAGCGTTTGAGTGAGCAAGCGTTTGAGCGTTTGGTTCAGGCAGAGGATGGGTCCTCCAGTTTTTGACACAAATCTTGCAAGGCCAGGAAGCATCTCCAGACCAGCCTGCAGCCTCAGGGTACTAAGGCTTCTTCCAAAACACAACTCTTCCTCTGCCCCCTTTTTTTTCTTTGCTCTGGCCCTAACAGATTTCTAGCTTGGATGCTCTGAGACAGCTTTGGGGAGGTCTCTTGGGGGAAATGTTGACAGAGTCCCAAAGATGAAAGGAAACAATGTTGGGGAGCTCTCCTGAGGATAAGAGATTATTTGTATAAGAAATAGAAAACATTTCAAATCAAGAATCAAAGCAACTTGAAAATTAAATGGCACCAGAAGATGGCAGTCTGCTCCATATCCTGAGCGAGTGAAATAAATGGGAAAGCTGGGCTCTTACCCATATACATTCATGCCGATGTCTCTCCTGGTTAACCTCTGCTAGTTGTTGGGTTTTTTTCCCCCCTCCTACCCTATTCCTAAGCCCTTTGCTTTTATCTTGTCCCTCTCTTTTCACTTTCATTTTTCTTTTAGCATAATAGAGTACTTACTTTCATTTTCTCTAATTGGAAAATTGCCTCCCTCGTGTTCTGTGCTATTCCTTCTCCCTCCAGAAGGGGTGGAGAACCTACTAACTTTTCTCCAAGACCATGGTCAATCCACCTTCCTCCCTCAGGCTCCTTCTTGACAGTCTTCTAGAAGGGAGAAGAGGGGAAAAGAAGCAGTTCCTGATGCAAATGAACAAGGAGCTCCCAGGTAACCAGCTCCCCACCCCTTTATATCTGTTACTGATTTCTCAAAGAAAAATTTCTGGGTCCCCCTCTTCCTCATCAGTAAGTGAAAAAGTGCATCATTTGTACCTGTACATACATTTGGAATACAGTATGGGGCTTGTTACCATACCCCTCCTGTCTAAAGCCTTAATCCTTTGAAGAAAGATGCCTGAAAAAGAGTCATTCCTCAAACAAAGGCCCATTTAAACGTCATCCTTATCTGGTGAAAACAATTTCATACATCTTATGGATCACCTTCAGGTCAAAGTTCCAGCAGAGTGAACAGTGAAACTGTATTGGAAGCCACCAAGCAATGCGCTTAGTTATCAGTGAAGAGCCCAAGGGAGGATAATGAAGAGGGAGACTAGCTCAAGGCTCAGTATGTAGTAATCTTGCTTAATTTGTATGCATTACTGTTGTATTAATCATAATAGCTCATAATATACTTACCCACTAAATCTGATGTCTTACCTGCATTATAATCTTCAAAATAATGCCATGAGTTGAGTAATACTATCCCTGTTTTAGAGATGAGGAAGCAGCTCAGAAAAACTCAGTAATTTGTTCAAGACAGCTAGTAAAGGCAGAGCTAGGGTGTGAACCCAAAAAATCTCCAGAGCTTCTGTGCGTAACCATGATGTTATATATTTTTTTCTATTAAAAACCTTGCCATATATCATCTCTTACTAGGAAAAAAAACCACAGTTTCTAATAGTGCTCTGCCTTCCCATCCTCCCAGTCTCCCAAACTGGCTTGGAGAAGGCAAAGCACTGAGGGTCCCAAACTTCATCTGCTCCTTCTAGGAGCTTGCTGCTGTCTCTTACGCCGGTGTCCCAGATCTGCAGAATCAGCAAGGGACTAACTCCGCCTGCCTGCTAGTGAACTTGGAACCCATTTCAACTATAGCCTTTCCATACAGTGGGATTCTCCCCTGGCCCTAGTGAACCTTCCACACCTATTGGTGTGCCGCCCCCCTTCCCAAACCCACCACTAGCCTTGAACAGGCCAATTGCCTAAACTTGCTGCTAGAAAGATCCAACTAGGACTGGATGCTCTGTACTCCGGCCCTCTCTGAGAGCCATGGTATTACTGAGTGGATAAATGCAAGCTGGCTGGGAGCAGGGAACCAAGGATAATCCATTGTTTCCTGAGCTCTTTCTCTGTAAGAAGTACTGTGGCTCACACATGCCCCCATTCTCAGCTTTATAGACCCAACACATGAGTCTTCTGGTTCTCATACAGTGCTGCTCCAGGGCAGCTGATAGCCTAACCTGATATGGCAAACACTAAGGAGTTTGGGGGAATCTTTAGGGATGTGTTATGTGTTAGGCATTGTGGTAGGACTTTTCTCTGAAGGCTGATGACTGTATGAACAGGAGCAATTTAGGGTATAGCATGTGAGCTGTGGACTGGGAAGTGCCATGAGAGAAACCATTACCATGGTCAGGGGCTTAGTTCCTTGAAGCAACACAGCAGGAGCACTGTTGCCATTTCCTCTCATCCAGACCTCAGATGTCTGATAGCCTTCTTCCTTTTCCTTTGTTTCTCTTTATGAATGCAGTTCATCATTCCTCTTCATCATAACCCCTAACTCCTCAACTTTCCAATCTAACTCCCACATTCCTTGCTTCTAACTCCTGTTTTTCTCTGGAGCTCCTCTGGATTCTTGTAATCCACAGGTCATAGAGACCTGAAAAGGCTTGTCTTTAGAGATAACTGGGTCCTTTACAAATAAGGACACAGATTCACAGATGAGAAGTGACTCCAGCAGGGTGAGATAATTTTTTAATGCAGCTTGAGATGGGGCTTAAACCCAGGCCTCCTGACCACATCCCTTTTCCAGGGTACGAAACAGGGTTTTGCAGTCAGACCCACCCATTTTTCATGGCAAGGGATAACATCAGAAATGTTTCATTTTCTGCTACTAGTTTCCATTCCCTTCCCCATCTAGGCATAAGGAGAAACAAATGGGACTGGTAGTTTTTTCTATGTCCCCAGCCGTGGCACTTCTTTGGTAATATTGCTAAAGAAGAATGAAGTTGCTGAAAACACTAAATAATCCACCCATTGAATAGCAAACCTGGGGAGCTCAGACCCTCCTAGAGCTTCCCCAGCCCCTTCATAGTGCAGCCCTGTTCACTGGGCCCCAAACCCACTAGTATTGTGCCTCACCTCAGCTGCCTCATACACCTGCTCTCCCTTCTGGATAAAAGACCTCATGTTTGAAATAAAGTTGAAATATGAAAAGAATGTATATCATCAGATGTTGAGAAGTATTGTTTGTTTTGGGCTGAGGGTGGCAAGAGACCCCGAGACAAGTTCTTCCCTCGCACCCCTCATTTCTTAGACATCTTATTTCTTAAAAGTTCTATTCACTGATACTGGAGTCCTCTGACTATGCAAAGTTGAGTGGGAAGGAAACATGGAGGAGTTGGGCAGCCCTGGTATAAGATACCCCAACAGGATCCCACCACCATTTGGGATAGTGGTAGGGAAAGTTACCAGGGCCCAGCGATTTAGTTCCCTGGCACCCAGCCCAGTTAAAGGGAAGAGCGTGGGTAGAAGCCCCTTGTTTCCCCTTTGGTGGCGGCTCTTCTGCAAGGACCTCTGTCTAATCCAGAAAGAGCAATAGAAATAGATATTAAAGGGAGGCATCCCTGAAAAAGATAATGTTCTAACATAGTATCGACTCCCACATCACCTGAATGATGCAAGAATCCAATTACCCACAAAGTAATGAGACAACATTCCTAGTAGGGAAGCCCTAGCCCCAAAATAATCGGATGCCTCCTCATTACATCATAATGGCCAAGTTGTGATGTCACTGCAGAGTACCCATTCTGATATGTGTTGTAAGTGAAACCAGATACACTGAAGTGTAGAGTCAGAATGAGGAGCAAACACCCAAGGACAGGTAAGTGAGGGCTTTCCATGGGTTCTCACTATGGCTTATTGCCTAGGGTCCCTCTGTGGACCTAATGTCTTTCCAGACTTCTTATATCTTAGTTTGGCAGTAGGTCTGTCTGAAATCTTTCTTCCACCAACTCCTTCACTGCAGCTTTTGCTATCCCAAATTCTCAATACTTGTGTTCTGATGGGTCAGCCCTCAGCTTTGGTATTTCTTAGGAGATAGAGTGGAGAACAGGGTTCTCCTAAATAGGGCAGAAACTCACCATATCCATTTGGTTAGCCCCAGGATAGATCCAACTTTTGGGTACCTCAAGCATACCTTTTTAAAGAAAAATACATTAGTTACAAAAGTGGATATATTTTAGAATTAGAAAAGATATACACATTACAATTTTAAAAAAGCTAATAAGTACCACAATATCACAAAGTCAAAAAATAAATTTTAAAACTTATCTACCTACCTGGCAAACCTATATATTTTTTCCTACAACTCTGTTTTTGTCTGCTTGCTCATTGATAGCCTTTTCAAATGATGGTTATATATAATGTTTTCTATAAAGAGTGTGGAAAGGTAATTCAATCTATTACATGGTTACTTTTATAAATTCTCTATAATGTAGGAACATTTCACCTTCACACCTTGTGATAATGTCACATAATTTTTTAGAATTTTTTTCAAACTTGGAAAAAATATCAAATTTCTTTTGTATATGTGGGTATAAGATTTTGAAGCATTTCAAATGTGCAATGACTAATGTCATATATAGTAAGTCTTCACTTAGTATGTTGAAAGATTCTGCGACTTCAAGCAAAACAATGTATAATAAAACCAACTTTACCATAGGCTAATTGATATAAATAAGAGTTAAGTTCCTATGGCATCTCAATGTTATGAGATGATATTGAACAACATGTTATTCAAGGACCTCCTATATGATGAATTGTTGACATTAGGAGTATTCTGGAAGCTATGTGTATTAGTTTTCTAAAGCTGCCATAAAATACTACAGACTAGGTGGCTTAAACAACAGAAATTCACAGTTCTAGAGGCTAGAAGCCTGAGATCAAGTTGTGAGTAGGGTTGATTTCATTCTGAGGTTCCTCTTGCCTTGGCTTACGATAGTCTTTTCCTTACTATATCTTTACATGGTCTTTCCTAGGTGCATGTCTGTGTCAAAATTTCTTTTTATCGTAAGGACACCAGTCATAATGGATTAAGACTAGCCCTAAAGACCTCAATTTAATTACATTTTATAGACCTTATCTCTAAATACAATTACATTTTGAGGTATTGAAAGTTAGGACTTGAACATATGAACTTGGGGTGGGGAAACAATTCAACCCATAACACTATACCTACTATTTAACTATTCACAGAAGTAACTTCAAACCACAGATGTATACCTACAAAATCTGAACTAAATGTATCCCTAACTCAACTTCCTTAGCCACTCCCAAAATGCCCAAGGCCCCACCATTTATGCCTGACAAAACAGAAAGTGTGATGGAAGGGAAGACAGAAAGGAGAGAGACATCAATCTTAATGAATTACAGTTTAAATATTTTTTCCAAATTTTACAAAAGCCTATGACCATGTTAACATTGCTGGGGCTCCTCTAGTGCTTTGGAAGAAGTCTGTGCAAGGGAGGGCCCTGCAACTTCAGCTTCCTTAGCTATAGGGTAAATGTGCCTCTGGTCAGTCTGAACCATGAAAAGGGAGAAAGGATTTTTACCAATGATGGGGGATTAACATTTCTACATTGAGGATGACACGATGAGTCCCCATTCTTCCGTTCTAGTCCCTGGAAGAGCTGGGAGGGTTATTGTCTTGCTAACAGAGGGACCCTTTCTTCTCTGATATTGTCTCTTCCTCTCTTCCACTCCCCTACTCAGTCCACTCCATCTTCTAAAACTTTAGGGTGGAACCCACATAAAAGTGGGAGATGTCAGCCTGCACTCCAGAACTGGAGCAGAGGAGGTTCTTTCCTTTGGTTCTCCCTCTCCTAAATCTGTCTTTGATTCTGCTCCCTACTCTTGACTCTCAAGAGTGTCTTTCTGAGACAAGAAAGGTGGCTGAGCTCTCCACCTATCATAATCCCAAACCTGTGATCAGGGATGCTCAGAGTGACTGACCCCTCCAGGGTCAGGCACTAAATTCCCACTGACAGTTCCTGCCCGGCTTTCCAGCCAAACGAGAACAAGTTCTTCCCAGTTAATCTAGTCTCATTGTTTGAATCATGAGAGAATGACTTCTCCACTAAAAACTGAGGGCTGCTGCTGCCTAAAGTGTTTCACTTTTCCTTTCTTTCATTACATACAAATCATCCGGGTATTGTCATGATTTAGAAGTTGTATATACCACCAGCCCTGGCTTAAACCCTGAAGGATCAAAAGCTTTTAACTCTGAAGCTGAGTATGAACGTCTTCCAGTTGCTTACTCCTGTTTTTTGCTGAATACTAGCTTGAAGATGTGGGGCTGGCTCTTAGTTGAGATTGTTACAAAATATGAGAGAGAAGGGGAAGGCAGGGGCAAATACGGGGCCAGCAACAGAAAATTGGGCTCGACACTGAAAAGAGAGATTTCTGATGTCTGGCAACCCTGAAGAGCTCTAGATCTTAGAGTGGAGCAATGAAGAATCAAGTAAGTTATGATGGTTGGCTTTTGGGGGTACATGTGTAGGGGTGAGGTCTGCATAATACAGGACAAAGTCTGAAATTGTTTTATAAATCATTAGTTTATATAAGCTACTAAATGACCTGAATAGGCAAAAAGAGACTTTTTCAAAGACCAGCATAAGAACAGAAGAGTTACTTTAGAAAGTATGGTTCCCAAATTTTAGTCAGAAGGCTGAGAATCCTAACTATACATACTTTTAACCCACAATTTCCGTGTATGGAATACTGCTTTGGTGGAAAGTCAATTCGATTGTCATTCCTTTTTTGAACTAAGGTCCCCAAATATGAGGCAGCGCTTCAAGTCCTCTTTAAGTGCAGGAATGGAATGGGGACCTGGGGGTCTGATAAGTCCCAATGAGGGACCCCTCCAACACTTCTTGGGGAACAACTGTGCGTTGCCAGCTGGACCCGGGAAGCGGCCGAAGGTGCCACCCTTTCTGGGTGGCAAGACATTTGATCCATCTCGAGAACAAGTTCCCGGTTGCTTTAGCCGCTTCCTTTACAGTGACCCTGCTGACGGCGGTTGTCCCCTTTGCTGGGAAGAAGCGGCTCGTGTGAAAAGGCTGGCAAGTGAATGCTGAAAAAGTCTTCCCTCAGGAGGAAACATGGGAAGTAGTTGACGCTCTGAACACTTCAGCAAGTGCTGTGAATTCCTTGGGGAATTCTGGGAGGAACATGGCACCCTGTACTTCGAAGGTCCGGCGTCGCTAGGTCGAGGGTGGGGGAAGGTACCATTCACGACACCCTGGCCCCGGAGGACATCTTCCCTGCCCACGCACCCAATAGCCACCCCGGCTGAGGCCCACGCAGCCAATAGCTGACTTCGGTCGAGACACACGCAGCCAATGGACAGCCCAGTGCGTTCCGCCGGTGCCCGCCTGCCTGTGTCCACCAATCGGGACTCGGGCTACCTTGGCACCGCCCACGGGGCCCGCCCCACCCATCCACCCCGCCTCCAACTCGCTCAAGCAGGGCTGGGCTAGACGGGCGCGTTCTCGGGGGCGGGAGGGGTAGTCCCGGTCCAGGCTCTCCGTACGGGTGGGCTCGGAGCAGGCCGCACCGGGCGGGAACCCCACTCCCACCCCGGAGGCCCCCTGCCCCTTCACCCCCTTCCCCCCCGGCCCATGGTGCAAGGCTGGGAGCCGCCGCCCGGGCCGGACCGCGGTGAGTGATCCCCAGCCCCTTCGACTTACCCTCCCTGCCCCTGTGCGATCTCCGACCTCCGGAGCCCTATCCCCGCGCTGGGGGGAGGAGAATTCGAGTTTCGAACTACCCCGGTTCTCTTCTCCTCTGGACTTTACGATTCCCTGTTGTAACTAGGGGAGGGTGAGTGGGTGTGTAGGGAGGGAGGGGAAGGCTGGGTTGGGACGCCCTTGGCGAGGGGAGGATTGAGATTCGCCTGCTCCCTGGGGCTCATCGCCCCAAGTGTAGCAACTTTTGTTCTCTGACCCAGTTTGGAGGCTTCTAGACTGCCTGTGAAATGGAGGATAGGAGAAACGTTTCCTTCCCAGGCCTCCCTCCTCTTCCCCATGACTACCTCCTGGCGACCTCAACACACGTACAGAAACCTGGCCTTACTTCTGGGGAGCAGTGGACTTTGGGAATGAAAGGTTTAGGAGAAACTGCCCCTTCTGACCTACCCAACCATACTCAGAAAACCAACCAGGAAAGTGAGAACCCGAATCCTAGAGGTTCCTGTGTTGCGTCCTAATCTGAGACTTCTAAACTGAAAGAAGACTCAGCTGAGACCTGTTTGATAATGTGAGCCCGGATCAGGAGATCTATCATACGAACCTCCCATTCACCATTCATTTGAAGCCCTATTATATTATATAATTAGGATAGGTAGATGGCAGTAGAAAACCAAAAAATCCAGTTAAAGTTGGGAATTTAAAAAATGATGCATACATATCTTAAGCATTGCCATTAAAAGTACATTGATTTCACCAATCTTTTGGGGTAGTGTCCAGGCGTTTTCTTTGTGTAAGTCTGCTGATTAGAGTTCCCAATTGTCTTTCTAGAATAAACTACACAAACAAATCTCAAATCTGAGTGCGCCCTGAGAACTTTTTAAACTACTGATGGCTGGGCCCCAGTCCAGACTAATTAAGTCAGAATGAGGAGGAGGGTGCCCTGCTTTGTTTCCCAGGTAATTCTAGTGTGTAGCCTGAGATGGGAGCCACTGCCTCTCATCATCTATGATTTATTTTCAGGTTTGGTTTCTTTAAAGTGGAGTGAGGACTTTAACACTTTTGAAGCAATCTGAATGCAGAACCCTTTTGAGATTTTTAAGTCCCCTGCCCCTCCAGTCTCTTATACTTGTCTTGCCTACTCCCAACTGAGCAATTTTTAAAATGTATACTCCTTTTTGTCTTTCTGAAGCATTTGACTTTGTTTTCATAGGAACCATTTTTAATGCACTAATTTTTCATAGGTTTATGTGATGTTTAATTACATTATTATATAAACACAGAAGAACAGTGGGCATAATAAGTAGGTTTGAAATCACACACAACTGGCCCAAGCACACAGGGCAGCTGAAGGAAGCAGATGATTTTGGCACAAGAGACAGTAGCCTACCAGCTTCTAGTATCCAGTGCACTGTGGGTATTGATCATGTAGTCCAGTGGGTCAGTTAAGCCAGGCTCTTGGCCCAAATGAATACCCCTCCCTTCTACTCTCCAACTAATATCACCAATACCCACTTACTTAAATTGTCTTGAGTCTTCCATCCATGCTTTCCATTCATTCACATCAAGCTGTTTGTTCCTCTGTAAGCAGTTACCACCATTGCCTTTATTAAGTTGGGAGAACATAAGGCAGAGGTTCTTAAGCTGGGCTTCTGAGCAGCCAGTGAACTCTCTGAGATTACATACATAATGTGTACAGTGTGAATGCTTATTTGAGGGTGGAGGAGTAGTCATAACTTTCTGAGGGTCCACACCTTTATCTGATTCACAGAGGTTCATGATCCAAAATGTTGAGAAGCACATAAATTGAATATCACTAAAAGTCCTTCTAGGCCCTTAAAAGTGTATCACCAAAACACATTTCAAGCGGTACTTCAATTCTCTGAATAAAGATTTAGGGAATTTAGCAGGATCATAGCTAGTCTCTCACTTGAACTGCCTCCTGCTTTAACCATAAGCCTAGGCTCAATCCTAAAGTTCTGAACACCTCTTTTTTCCTAGGATTGTGTAAACACCTAGACTGGAAGTTTAAGGCAGCCCATTCTTTTCTGCCATCTGCCCAGAGGTATGGAAAGAAAGCCCAAAGGGAAAGAGGGCATTGTCCTCTGACTTTTTTATTAGTGACTTAAAGGAGCAGTAGGGCATATCTGGCATATTTAATAAGGATACAAATTTAGCAATTATTCAATATTGATAATCCCACAGCCACCTCTGCCTGTAGGAATCATTTCTGCAGCTTTGATTTCCATCTTTTTCTACCCTCCCCAAATGGAGGCACAAGAACACAAGACGCTGTAGTGTCTTCATTGTGGTTTGGATCATTCTAGGGTCTGCCCCACTTGTTATAATTCTCATGAGCCACTCTTTAGTTACAGTTTCTTCCTATTTCAAAGCCAGATTCTTTCAGGGAGGTACCAGCTGTACAGTTGTGCCTTGATTTAAGCCACCATTCTGCATTAGGAAGTCTTCCATAACTTGTGTTTAGTATAATTGGAAAACTGGATGTATACAGTACACCAAATATGGTATTTGCATTATTGCATGCTATACTGAAATATCAAGATGATGCCATGTGAATCTGAAGGATAGCAAACAACATGAATGGAAAGCAAAATGCTTCCTCCTAGGCATAAGACTGCCTTATTTCCTGTCTGGCAGTCTTCATCCTTACACTGGGCTACTTTATCCCTTATGCTACATTGTTCTCATATCCAAAGTGTTATTGTGTCCTTAAAGAACAGACACAAACAAGGTTAAGTATAATAGTTAAGTAGATGTCAAGGGTTGCAATAAAGTATCTCTAGCTTAGGTTTGGTTTCTGTGGGGTTGTCGGAAAAGTCATGACGTGTTTTTTCTGTTTTTTGTTGCAAAAATGCGTCATGACTTTTCCGACAACCCAATAAATGGTGGTTTAGCACCTGGTTGTGCAAGCAGTTCCTCACAGGCCAGTCAGCCGTATCTAGGCCGAACCTGGAGGGTACAAGTAGAGCTACCACACTGGCAATTCACCTGACAATCAAAAAGAATTTATATCCAAATTATGGATTCAATTCTAAAGCAGCGATTTTCACACTTTTTTAAAGAAGCAAAATCCTTTCTGGAACTCTATCCAACTTCTAAAATATAAGAAGTATAAAATCACAGACACCCTGGTTTCCTCCAGTGCTCATTAGAATTAGGACTATGCAAAAACAGATTGAAAACAGTGATTTTAAAGGATTCAGTCTTTGTCTCACTTCCCCTGTTGTTAGGAGGAGCACTACTTTATATCAGAATTACCCCCATAAGGCTGAAGTAATGATAAAAGCTATTTACTGAGCCTTGCCTTTGTTCTAGGCATAGTGTCAAGTGCATTTTTTTCATTTAGTCATAAACTTGTGAGGTAGGTTTTTCTGATGGGAAACTAAGGCTTAGGTTAAATAACTTACCCAAGGACAAGCAGCACGCTAGGAAGTGGTGGAGCTTCAATTAATCTCAAATCTGCTTCACCCTATACCTCCACCTCTAACAGCTGCTTTAGGCCCTGCATACACATACCACCTAGCACATGTAGGTGCTTAGTAAAAATAACTTTACATATACTCAGCACTGTCTCCATTTTGTACATTTTAGGAAACAAAGGCTCATGTAAATTCAGTAACTTTGCCCACATAGCTAGCTGGTGGCAAAACCAACTGCAGGTTGGCCTTACTTAAGAATCCCATTTCTACCCACTGTGCCGTGCTGCCTCCACTTACTCTCTTAAGGTTCTCTTCAAGCTGTATTGCCTTTAGGATCTGCCTGTCCTTCGGTTAAGATTTGTTTGTTAAAAGGAAGGGTGACACACATTAAAATACTAATGAAGTTTTTCTAATCATTATATAAAATCCCTGATATTATACTATTTGTAATTTTCAAGACTTGAGATTTTTCTCAGTTCATGTAGCATTTACATAGGAATCCTGTCCCATCCTTAACACATCAGAAGTAATATTTATAAACTCAGATGGGATCCCTCTAAGAGTAAAGGGTGACAGATGTGTTAAATATATCTAATAAGGCCCACATAGGGAGCTGAGTTAAAATTCGGTTAACAGGATTATTCTGGGAAATAAACTTGAGCAGGTATTTCTGGAATTGAAGTGTGGTCAGAGGCTAGCCCTGAAGTCCCCACACCCAGAACCAGTGGTGCTGCTGGGCAGCTTGCAAGACCTGGCTACAATTTATAATGAGCCTAACCACCTGGGCTGGAGAAAAAACCTGGCCCTAAGATAAGCGCTGCAGGCCTTTGGGAGGGCGGGGGCGAGGATGTGGAGGGGTGTTGCTAAAATCTGAGGGAGCTTTCTAGGCTCCCTGGAGAGAGACTGAGCATTTAGAAGAGACAAAGGCTGCACGGGGTGGGGGGTGG